TATGGCTCCTTGATATTGACTGTTCGTTGTTGTTTCTTCATCAAGGTTCGCCTCAGTGAATCTGATATGAAAACCTTGACCCGAGAGGAGCTGTGCACACGGTATACACACACACACATTTTATACACATGCATTACAGTGAACCCGCGTTTATTGCTGGGGACATGTTACTGCAGCCATGCATCAATGATCAAAATCCGTGGAGTAGATAGGCCTCATGTCAAAAATTTTAGTTTTGCCACTTTCGTGTGTTTTGGACCAAGGCTCAACAATTATTTCAATTGAAATCTACATTGCAGTGTGGTGAATGCAATTTTCAAATTGCAATGGCTGAAAATGTGGAAAGTAAACATCTGCTTCATTTCAGACATTCAGTAATATACATATATATGCATGTATATATGTGTGCGTGTGTCTAAATTCAGTGCTTAAGAAGTACAGTCCACATGTTGACATAAGATGAAGCAAAACAAAAAAGTTAAAGTGCTGAAGCTACAAATTGCTTGACATTTTTGTTGCAGTCTAATTTATGACAGGCAGCCTTACGTTTACGCTTGTTTGATAGAATTTGGTTGGGGTCGTGAACACTTAAAAGACTGCAAATTCAGTCTTTCGTAAGTGAACATGCCTATTTTGGGTGGATTAAAAAAAAAAGCCTTTCACTGTATTACATCGCTGGTGGGATATCCTGTTTGTTTGAGGAGCCTCACGTCACATGTATTCTCCTGTTATTAGGTGGAAACAGCACGAGTCGTATGTGCAGGTCCTGGAGGCCAAATATGCCGAGCTTTGTTGTAAGTACACATACTCCGTCACGCTTGTGTGACTCTTGATGGCAATCATGCACATGTTGATGATGGCCGAGGGTTAGTTTCCTGACGCCTTTACTTTCTTCTCTCCGGGACCGCCAGCCAATGATGTAACAGGCCTGAAGGAATCTGAGGAGAAACTCAAGCAGCAGCAGCAGGACTCTGCCCGCAGGGAGAACATCTTGGTCATGCGGCTTGCCACCAAGGAGCAGGAGTGCACGGTACGTACATCTTTCTGCTCTTATCGATGGCAACATAATAGGCGTTAAGTGGAGTGGAAAAAATGAGCCATGGTGATTGTGTTTAGATTTTGCCTGTGGATAATTTTGGGTGTCATCAGTTAAAGCAGCCTCATTGGCCACGATGTAAGGATGGCACTGTCAGAGAGGGTATTGGGAAATGCTCTCCCTTGCAGCCCAGTAAGCTTTTTGTTTCTCCCCTTAGACGCACATCCAGTACCTGAAGCAAGCCCAGCAGCCCAGCGCGGCCCAACTGCGCTCGTCCATGGTGGACCCGGCCATCAACTTGTTTTTCCTCAAAATGAAGGCGGAACTGGAACAGACTAAAGACAAACTGGAGCAGGCCCAAAATGAACTGAGTGCCTGGAAATTTACACCTGATAGGTAACGACAATCGAAATAACACCCCCCTCCCAAACCCGCTGGCCATTAACTTCATTAAAAAAAAAAAAAAAGAAAGGGGGGGAAAAAAAGACAGTATGGTCAGGTGAGACTTGTGCCCCGCCCCACCCCGCTCATCGGCATCACAGGGCCTGAGGAGTCTGGACTGTTCCTGAAGACTTGTCCCTTTACCACCCGGATATGGAAAAAAAAAAAAAAAACATTGGTGATTTTGAACTGTGCTGCGGCAGCTGCAGGCCATTAACTTCATTAAAAAAAAAAAAAAGAAAGGGGGGGGAAAAAAAGACAGTATGGTCAGGTGAGACTTGTGTCCCGCCCCACCCCGCTCATCGGCATCACAGGGCCTGAGGAGTCTGGACTGTTCCTGAAGACTTGTCCCTTTACCACCCGGATATGGCCACCCCATCCGCCTCGTCGGCTCAAAGCAGACAGTCGACAGCTTAAAATAGGGGGGCGGCTAGCCGAAAAAGCGCAATTGGAAGCCTTTAAAGACAATTGTCGTACTCGTCTAAACTGTGGAACAGGCCCACGCGTGTACCTGAGAAGCGTACTGACTTGTGGGACAGTCTAGATACCGCAGCAGCAGCGCAAGTTTAAAAGTAAGACTTAAAACTGTGGGCGGAGCCACGACCTCGCCCCGCAATGTACTTTTGGGATCGAGGTGTGAGGGTCCACTGCCCCCCTCCCCCATTTCCCCACCCTCTCATTCATGGTAGTGTGTTTCCATGTTTTCTGTTTGTTGCAATTTTTGTGACTTGTTTTGCGACCGTCGGGCTGGTTGGCGCGCGCGCGTCGACGTTGAGCGGCGTGTTTTCTGAACACCGAGGCGAAAGCCCGCCAGTACAAGCTGTCAATGCAAAATGGTCTTTCACGTTGATGACGATGTACCCGCTTGGATTTGAGTGTTTATGCGGGTGCTCAGT